ATTCTTATTATGGTACAAATAGTAAGAGGCAGCCCATTCTTGTTATAGTGTCAGAGGCTGGGGTGGGGCCAGTACTTGCTGCCTGAGGTGCCGGAATGGGAGATGAGGCCTTCAAGTCGCCCTCTGTCCTTACCCAAAAAACAGAGGCACCAAGGAAACACACGCCCCCCCCCCCCCAGGACTAAAAGCCACCGTTGCTTTTGGGTGCCAAAAATGCAAACGCTTGGCTGTTGCATGCCCAGCTGTCCCTACCTTCTGTTTTCCCCCTGACACAGTTTTCAATATAGAAGTCTGTGGGATATTGAAAATGTACGGGCAGCATAAACTACAATGACTTTCCCATCAAAATCAACGGCGCAAACCGCTCCCATTGCCAAAGCGGTCATCCGGTTCGCTGAGGATCAGACAACGCAGCTGGGCAGGGGCGCAAGGGGTCACGGGATGTGCCCTAAACTCTTGAGCAGCCCCCTGGACCTTGGGTCTCCATAAGGGTATGGAGGCACTGTGGCCCAGAGCCCCAAATGGTGGCCTGTGAGCCCACTAATTCCACACCCACAAGCAAGGCTTGGTGGAGGCAGTGAAGCCTAGTGCATAAAACACTGGGCTAAGACTCAGGAGACCTGGGATCTTTCCCAGCTCTGCTACTAGACAGCTGGATGACCTTGGGCAAGTCATGTTCCCCTCTCTGTGCCTCAGTTTCTCCATCTGAATACTGCCTCCTTTGTTGAGCACTTTGCAATCTACTGATGAAAACTAGTCTGTTAGAGTTAGGTGTCACTCAGAGTGCTGGGAAGTGTGGCTGGATCATGGGAGGAGCAGCTGCACTTTCTTAATGGTAGTGGCCAGTAGCAGATTACCACCCCTAAAGCTAGGGTGGAGCAGGAAATAACTCCTTCCTTCACTGCTCCCGAGTCAGTCCTTTGCTGGTGCATTTTACACAGGGAAGGTTGTGCAGGCTAAATGGAGTAGCGTTAGTTCCTGGTTCAGACATTTCCAACACTGTCAAAGGATAACCCCCATCCAGCTTTAAGAGAAAGCTTTCTGAACCAACGTCTAAACAGAATATCCACAATGCTGCAGACAATAAAAATTAAACACCTTCCTGGAAACCGTGGAGTGATGCCCTTTGAATCATTTCCAGGCAGGCGGCCAGAATCTTAGCGCAGATCTTCACATCAAGGCTTAAGGCCAAATTCTGCCTTCAGTGACAAGCATGCAGTCCTTCTGAAACTAACAGAAGCTGCATGCCTGTATCTGATGGCAAAGTCTGGCCTTTAGTAACCATACAGCCTGACAAAAGACTGCATGCTAGATTCTCAGCTGGTGTCCAGCAGTGTAGTGCCCTACTTGAGAGCAGCCTTTTCCAGGAGAATGGAGATATAGTCATTTCTCCATGCACGGCGTTAGCCAGAGAAGTTTGAAAGAAATAAAATCAAAACAAATAATGACGATCCAAAGCAGAAATCCCTGACGAAAGGTAGGGCAAGAAAGTGAAATTGATCATTACCATATCACAGAAGACTCCTATAAGGTCATCTGTCAGTAGGGATTGACAGCCTGGAGCTTAGAGCAATTTATCCCCAAGCCGTAAAGGCCAAATTCTGCTCTCACTTACACCAGTATAAATCTGGAGTACCCCAGTGCAAATTTGCAATGGAGTTAAGTCAGAATGGAAATCGTCCCTTTCTGAAATCAATGGTATTACTCCAGATGGGCATGGGTGTAGGTGAGAACTGAAACTGGTCTAAATGGAGGCCTGGAATACAGAAAAGATCCTCCCTTCCTTTTAGAAATGGAAAGTGCTGAAACAAAACCACAGGTTAGTCATTGTGAAAGAGGAAGTCCTTAGCTCTGGGGGGTCCAACTGCTGAGCACCTTGCTTTTTATTAAAACTGTAGATACGCACAATTATTAAAAAGCCACACCTGATTGAAGGCTAGAGTGTAAAGTGCTTTTTCAGCCCTGGAAACTCTTAAATCAGTAGATAGAAATGGAGACTTGAATAGTCCAAATTCTGCAAATTCAGTAGTCTTCATCATCTGTACCCTTAAACAGGCCACGTACAGCTTCATTACAAGTTTCTTGCTCTGAAATTGTTTTCCAAAGATGATCCACGAAGGACAAATGCTCACTGAAAGCTTTTTCTAAAACAGGTTTTTCTTGGTACAGTAGCTGTGGAACAATTGCCTTGTCTTGTTTCCTATCATATTTGACCCTCTTGGTTTGGGATTCTTTCTTTTCTTGTCCTTTCATTAGGATCTTTACCTGACATGTCATTCTATGTGCTCAGAAAATCTGTCACTACTCTGGGAGACCAAAGAAACCCTAGAAACTGATGACTTCTATCCTCAGAACACCTCCAGCACAGATACAGCCAGTGCAAAGCTTTTCTTCTCCTCTGCCAACTGGGGTGGTTCTTTTACAATGGGCTAGTGAATGGAGAGAGAAAGGCAATGCTTCTTTTCCCACACAGGCCTTTGAACTATCAAACTATCATCAAACAGTAACTCACCATCACCAATGAACTGTGCAGGCTGCAGAGGTGAAAGACTGAGCACGCTTTGATCAACTCCACAAACCATCCAACTATTTTTCAAAACGAACCCACAATCTAAAAGCAATGTGTACTTTTGCAGTGCCAAAGACATTTATTTGTATACAGTCCCCCAAGCCCGCCATTGCTCCTGGTTATTATTTATAGAACCTACAGTTACATCTCCTCCAAACATAAATTTCAGCTACAGAATTATTGCATTTCATGTGAAGTCAATGCTAGAAAACAGCATTCCCCATAATTTGGCCCTGATGGAGACAAAACACATGCTAAATTAATTACTGCCAGACAGCTTACTTTATACCTGAACATTACTGTGAGTTACACTTAAGGGGCCAGATCCTCAGTTGGTGTAAATCAGCACAGCTCCACTAAAGTCCATGCAGCTATTCTAATTTACATCATCTGATAATCTGGCCCAGGAACTGGTGTTGGGTTGCAGAGCTAGATGGTGGCTAAATGTGTTCATCTTATTCATGTAGGGGCAGAAAAATGGTGATGCAACTGTTGCAAAACCAGATGGCCTGAGAGCACAGGGCAGCATCTGTGGCAAAATCTGTTTATGTTGAGAACCATTCCAACTCCCAACTCAAGGGTCCCTCACAAAAGAGCACTGGAGGGAGCTCTGCCCGCTGACTGATGGTGGGATATGGCCCTGGCTGTGCATCTGATGGGACTCACGGGCCCTTTGAAATTTAAGAGAGACAAAGAGAACATATTTCTTCTATTACTGGAAAAAAAACATCTTTAAATTAGCACAGTCACACTTCTGCAATCATTCCAAAAGCAGAAATGCAACTCTGCCCAGCTCCAAGAGCAATTTGGGGAAGCTGCCATCACACTAACCATTTACGGTCAAATAGCTCACTGGCTAACCCAAACTAGTATGCAAGTGAGATCAGGTAACAGCTAAGCCTGGTTAAATGCTTTGATGAATCTCTAATAAATACATGTACATTTATGGAGGGATTCCAGCCTTATTAACAGTCAGCACTCCTTCCTTCTCAAGAGGCTGCGTTATCCTTGTCTGGGCTAGATACTCACAATATACACAGGCCCTGGGCACGTGTCAAAAACTCACTCCCAAGTCCTTCGTATTCCAACAGATTTCACACACCGGCTGTAACGCTGTTTAGTCTTCCCCTCTCACCCCTTACAATTTACACATCGGTTTGATGCGCCCTCGCTCAATCAACGGTTGACTGGGAATTTTTTGACAGATCCTCCCCCTTCAGCGATCAACAGGGGAAGGAGACGCGCAGGGGCGCTCCCCGGCTCCCCCAGGCAGCGCGGAGTTAGCCAGCTGGTGAGCAGCACCTCAGATGTAGCTAGATCTGCAGGTTTCAGAGTAACAGCCGTGTTAGTCTGTATTTACAAAAAGAACAGGAGGACTTGTGGCACCTTAGAGACTAACCAATTTATTTGAGCATGAGCTTTCGTGAGCTACAGCTCACTTCATCGGATGCATACCGTGGAAACTGCAGCCTAGATCTGCAGAACAGGCTTAATCGGAGAGCCTGCATTTAACCGCCTGCTTTTCTTCTCTGATTACACTGAATGTCTCTCTTTCCCTCTCTGCACCATGTTCTCCCCTTGCACCGGGAAAAGCCCCCCCCCCCGGTGGCACGATCCAGAGAAGTGCTGATAGCCCCCCCCCGGGGCGGAACAAGACATCTGACTAAAAGAAACCAGCTCCTATTTCCCTCGGCGCAGGGAGTTTTGCCCTCGCCTCCCGGCTGCGCCTTGTGTCTTAAAGGGCAGCGTTTTTCTGCTTACAATGGTCACTAACGAGCAAGTCCTTCTCCCCGAAACCTTTGTGGGTTTGCCATTAAGATGCCACGCTAGGCTGCGGATTGCACAGCCCCTTTGTGGGACGGGGAGCGAGGGGGGGGGTCACGCCTCTGTTGTGGGTCCTTGTGTGTGCACGGGGCTTGCTCCGCTCGCTGGGGAGCCGGGCCCCGGGAGAGCTCCGACCCGCCGCGCCGCTTTACGGACTGCCCGCAGCCTGCGGGGCTCGCTTTGCAAACCTCCCAGAGCCAGGGCGCCCGGCCCTCCGCCACCCCTCTCCGGTCCCCGGGCAGGCGCGCGCAGCCGTGCGCCCCTTATATAGCCCTCTAAAAATAGCTCGCCTTACACTGCCTTGTAAGGCAGCGGGGAGATCAACCCCCATCCAATCCGCAGGGCCCTTCCGTGCCAGGCTCCGCCTCCGGCCCCTTCTCTTTGGCCTTCATTGGGCTTCAGTGACTTCATGGGCTCCCCCCACCACCCCCTCTTCGCCTTACATGGTCACGCGTTGTCTTAATGGACAGCTTCCTTCAAGAGCTGACGGCTGCGCGGAGAAAAGATGGGAGGGGAGGGGGACGAAGAGAAGGGGGGGCTCTGAGCTTGCAGGATTGAGGGGGGGGATTGGCTTTGAAAGGGGGGGGGCAATGGGGGCTGAGAAAAAAAGCGATCGCGAGAAAAAAAAATGCAACCTCCCAAAAATAAAGAGCAAAGATTGCATTGAGCAGCGAGCAGCAATGCAGAAATAGATGGCAGTTTCGTGTCAGGGAGTTTGCATTCCCCCTTCCTGGTCCAAGAAGTGGAGTGATTAGACCCCTGGAAGGGACTTGCATTTACTACAAGTGGAAGAGTCCCCCCGCTTTTGCTGGCTGCTGTTTGCACTGTACATATTGGGTGCATCTAGCCATTCTCACTGGGGTTTTTTTTTCCCTCCCCTCTCTTTCCTGAATTGATTTTTTTTTTACAGTGTGACAGAAACAAAACAAAACAAAAAAAGGGACATTGGATCTATTGTTGTTTTTTATGATCACAAACAAAACCCCACCACAAACAAACAAACACAAAACAAAACAAAAGGGTTTTGCTCAGCAGCAGCATGGATGTGTTGGCTAGTTATAGTATATTCCAGGAACTACAGCTTGTCCACGACACCGGCTACTTCTCAGCTTTGCCATCCTTGGAGGAAAACTGGCAGCAGGTGAACCATTTAAATTACTCCTGTAAATCTTTTAAGTGCAGACAGTCGGTGCGTCGAGGCTGCATTTCTGATTTTATTTTATTTTTCTTTAATACTTAATTTGGAGGTTTTTTTCTGTGCGGGGCTAACACCTTAATTTTTTTTTTTTTTTTTGCAATTAGAGACAGAGCCGCCCATTCAAAGCTGTCTGCATTCAGTCATATAAACACACCAGGCAGTATCTCAGATCCGGTGAAATTCTTTGGGTTTTGTTTTTTATGATTATTTGTAAACCTTAGTGATTTTTTTTGTTCTTTGCTCACTTGTTCCAGCCAGTGTTGACAACTGGCAGCTGGTGGAAGCTGAATAGATCATTCTTTTTTTCAGGTAATTAGTATGTGTCAATAAAAATCCTACCTTAATTTAGAGATGCGCTGGGGGTGGAAATGGTATCAATAGCAAAATACAGTCAGTGAAATCTGGAGTAAGAAAGATGACTTCTTTTTGAATTGTTCTGGACAGATGAAACTTGTTTTTGTATCTTAAACTGGCTTAAGACAACAACACTTCAGGCTGGTTTCAGCCACCAGGGTGCATTGAGACACTATAGGGTTAATATGCAGAAGGAACTGGAGTACTTCTGAAGGTGGCAATCTGGTATTATGGATACATTAAAAGTGATGGGTGACATGCCTAAATAATATCAAGGGGAAGAGTAGTTTGTAGAGAAATGGGCAAGATGTGTAAAAGTCATGACCAGCCCAAATGCAAACCGACCCTAAATAACTATCTACTGGAGGAAAAAACAGGGGACTCCTCCTTATAGCAGGAGAAGAGCTAAGCTACTGTATTGCTTGATATGATTACAGGTTAGTCAGATTGTCAACATTCTGTAAATTAGTGTCTCTTAAAAAAATCGACAAGTCTATATGAATGGTCAGGTGTGGGCAGAATGGCATGTGGCGCTAATGTAACTTACATACCCCAGGACAGAAGCAGGTTAAGACTAATGAGGGCTGGATTTCATTTTGCATTGATCCAGTGCAGTATTTGCCAGCACAAGGCTAGTGTGTGTTAGTTCTCTAGTAAGTGGGCGGTAGGATTTTTTGTTTTTGTTTCTGGGTGGATGCTAGGACTCCAGGACAATCTGTGGCACTGCTACCTACTTGGCTGTGCTTGGATACTTGGGAGATTTACCTAGTAAAATTATTTTGGCTTCAGCTTTCTTTTATGAAAGGCTTACTGGCAGCCACAGGGCAAACATTTTCAGATTTCATTCGCAACTGGACAGTCCAACTTTGCTTAATACTCCAAAGGGGGAAACACTTTTTTGTTGTTAATATTCAGTCTGCACCTCGGTGATGGTCACATCTGGTTTCCTTTAGACTTTTAACATGCTAAATTAAACTGAAGAGGTTAATATGATTTCATTTTAGAATCCCCATTTAATTCTGCATTGTCCTTGCTGTTGAATCAGTTGCATATTAATAACAGTCTAGACAGTTCAATGTGAGATAATCTGTTGACATAGCCAGCATGCCTAAGGCAGATACTGTATGTGATACTTTGTCTACTGCTGCCTGACTTCATACAAGAAAGGGAAGCATTTCACTTTCTGCAATAGTGTATCAAAGCAATCCTCTTGTGAGAGCTACATTTTAAAGGAACACCATCACTTAAAAAATCTAGCCAATTTTTAGGAAAGGAGCTAAAACCTTTTTCACGTGCTACCTCTTCCCCTCAGTCCCCTGGCCAATTCTTGTTGTTTTATAGTACATCCTATTTTTATAATGTTTTTCCTCCCCTGTTGCTGTGTGAAGTCTCCATGCAAGCAACTGGGGGAAACCTGGCTGACACAGGGAACAGTGAAAGTGAGTGATGCACAAGGTGTAAAAATGTACAAAGTAAACCAACTGAAAAAGGGAGGTGTTTTTTCTTCCTAATGTCTTTCAGGGGTAATCTCTTTCAGTCATAATCTTAGGTTAAAAAGCTTGTGTGTGTGTGTGTGTGTTTTCCATTTGTTTCCCTTTAAAAGTGGTAATCTGGAGACCTTGCTTTTGGGAGACAGCTAACTAGTAAAGTCTGTCTTTTCCTCTCCTCTTCCTGGGCAGTAATCCATTCCATGGAGCCCCCCAAGAATGTAAAGTAGCAGCCTTAATTTTAAATGAAAGCTCTTGAATTGATCATTCTAACATCTTCAAATGAAAACCCGGTGCGATATAAATACTACAGTAACGATCCAGAATATTACCTCTTCCACCAGCAGTGCAGCAGTGTTTTGGAAGATTATTCTAGTATCGTTTAAGAGGGCAACAGTATGGTTGTGAGGGTGAAGAGCAAGATTCTTTATCACATTGTCAGCAAAAGTTGTTTCTTGTTTAACATTCTTATAACACTGGTGGTAGAGAAGTTAGTGGGTGCCAGTTTAAAAACTCCTTGTGAGTGATATCTCCTTCTATACTATAAAGACACATCTGGGCTGTTGATAGAGTTACCCTAAAGCTACCTGAAATTGTTGACACAACCTTCTTCCTTTTGTCCCTAGTTTGGCCTAGTGTTTTGTGACTGCTTGATGAAGTGTATAGTAGGGACAGTTGCATGCAACTGCTAGTGTTTCCGATTATGAAATGTGCATCACTAATTGCAGTGACGGCTCAGGCTGGTTGCTAAACACTTGCATGCACTCAACTGATCTCCCCTCCTCCTCCCCCACAACAGAAGTGAGAGGAAGTTTCGTATCTGTGCTTCTCTTAATTACCGTTGGAAGTTAAAATAGGACAGTCATTAGACAGCCCAACCTGTAAGTGCAAAATGAACAGATTTTTGGTAGGAGGCGATTAAAAATGTATTTATATGTGTGGATTTCAAGGGGGGGAGAACATAGCTTGAACTGTAAACATGGGAAGGCTTGTGTGTTTGAAATTTAAGATGGAATCTGAAGGTACTGTGTGTTCAGGTTATTTTCATGTACATTTTTATGTGGGGGTGTAATCTTTGGTACCTAATTCTTGTTAACTAATGTTGCAGTTCCTTCAGGCCTGATCTTTTGGTCAGGCAAAACTCCCCTCAGATCAATGGGAATTTTGCCTGAGCAAGGAATGCAGGATCTGGACCACCAGTTACCATGATATTGCTATTGCACCGACAATAGATGTGGTAGGGGCTCAGAATGTTTAAAAATCAGGCCCAGGGTGTCTTTCAACTGCCTGGTAGCTCAGACGGATTCTGTAAATAGCCCGCTAGTGTGTCGCTGTGGCTCTCATTTGAACCCCCTTCCTTGGTATCCATTCCTATGACTTAGGAGCCTGTTCAGAGGGGGAAGCCTGAGCCGGCATGAATCCTCCCTGCCTGTCCTATGCTGTAAAGAACGCTGGGTTCACGTGCACTGTTATGGTGAGGTATTCACCAGCTCTGGCACTCTTGGAATATCGAATGAGAGCTGTAGAGGCTGTGAAAAATGTGTTTCAAACAATAAAAGGCCAGGAGGTGCCTTTGATCCACAGCATGTTACCCCCAGTGGAGGGAAGGGGTTCGGAAGGATCTGCCTGATCCTGTGAAGACAAAGGACTAGGTGAGCTGTGTGCAGAGGGGATCATCCACTAGCAGATGTGCACCTCCATTGGAAGGAGGCATCCGCTGCCCCATGACAACCACCCCTTCCTTCTTTGGGCCTTAGGAAGAACTTCCCAGGGTGCAGGACCCACTAGTGGGGAAAGAGTCAGGGAACAGCCTGGGGCTGCATTCCTTTTTCTACAAGGCCCCTCATCCCCTTAAAGGAGGACCCCAAGGGATAGCCTCTGGTATGGAAGACTTTGGAAATGTGACTAAAGTGGACCCCTGCTGTCAGAGATGGGGAGCCTGGAGGATGGGCTGAGGCACAGGGTCTCCATGCTTATGGCCTCACGCTTCCAGGGGAATTCTGCAATTAGCAGAGTTTGGGTGTCAAGCCCTTCCCATTCTCCCAGGTTTTGTCAGGGGTGGGGTCATAGATCCTGTTGGCCAGGAGGACTGGAAACAGGATCTCTTCTTCTGATAAAAAGAACTATGGTTCCAAACATAGGGGCTGATGCTTATACTCTGATTTGAATTCCTTCTCTCTGGGATGATTCATTAGTTCTTAGATGAACTAAGCTTTGGTTCCTCTTACACTAGAACAGGAAGAAAGGATGAGTTGAGACATAGGACTGGGACTCAAGAGATCTGGGGGGAGGGTTGGCTCTGCTGTAGACACCCTTCCTCTGTCCCCCAGTGTGTCCTTGAGCAAATCTTTGTGCCAATGTTTTCCTCTCTGTTAAATGAGTGATGATAATACTTAATAATACTCACTGGGGCATTGTGAGGCTAAATAGTTTAATACCAGGAAAGTGCTTTGAGATCCTTGTGCTGTGTAAGTGCAGTATTTTATTATGATGTGACTAATCTAGCAGAACTCTGTTAGTTGTTGATTCTGATTTATATTTGGCAGATGGGGTCAGTTTCAGGCCTGAAGGAAAAACTTCCACTGCTACTGGAAAGGAATAAATTACATTGTAGAATGTTCCTACCTCCCCACTGTCCTCATTGTTCTAGTTTAATGGCCACTACATAAACTAAACCATCTCTTCTAATATTGCTATTTCATCTTGGTTCCAGTCACAGTGAAACACATTTCTAAGTGCTTATAGTACATCAGGCCTCCTGAGGATAACTTGCAGAAATGGTTGACTTCCAAGAACAGCCACATGTGTGATGCAATGTATTTGGACTGTGAGCCATGTTCAATACCGGTATACAGGCTCACTGTCTGCTAAATGAACTGAAAACAGGCTCCTGTAAACCCCTCCCCCCCACACCCCCCCAAAAAAATTACAAAAAATCAAATCAGCAAACTGGAGCCACTGTTCATATCATTTTCTGCGTCCCTTAGTTACAGAAAACATTGCTTTATGTTATTACTTCTTGGCATTTAGTATTGCTGGTATAAATGTGTAGAGACACAAAGGAGACCTGCAAACCCCATAAAAAGGGTAAAATAGCTGATT